TTATATTATTACTTATAATAAGAAAATATATAGTAATATATAAATATTTAAGTTATATATAGTATATAAGCTTAAAAAGGAAAATAAGTAACTATATAAGAAATTATAGTTAGTTATCTAAGGCTATACTAATAATAGTAAGGAAATAATTCTTATATAGTTACTTATAATCTAATAAATAGCCTAGTAACTAATCCTTACTTTTACTCTTTTACTTTTATAATAAGAATTTTACTTATAGCTATATAGTATTACTTAGGCTTATACCTAATCTACTATACTACTTAACTACTTTATTCTTATAAGACTTCTTATATAAATCTACTATTTTTACCTAAGTGACTTTATTATAAAAGTAATAAAGCTACTTTATAGTATTACTAAGGCAGGCACCTACTAGTAGGCTATATATAACTACTACTATAGAGAGAATCTTTAGATAGATTTATTAACTTTTAACCCCTACCTACTTATTTAATTATCTAATAATAAGGATTTTAGCCTTATTAGTATATAAATAAATAATATAATTAGCCTTATAGATAATAAATTCTTTACCTATAAAAAGAAAAAGCTTAAAAAAGTAACTTTTACTATAAAGCCTAAGTAACTATTAACTATTAATAATTTTATTACTTTTAATAGTAGTATACTTTCCCTTAGCTATAATAGTAAAATAAATTTTTAGTAAAAGGATTAAGGTAAAAAGCTTTAGCCTATTAACATAAATTTACTTACTGCTAAATAAGATTTTATCTAGTAAAGGGCCTATAGGGCGTATATTATGTTAATCTACTAACCTAAGGCTTACTTTAACTATTTAGTTACTATATAACACTAGGAACCTATAAAGAAAAAGATTAAGGCTCTTAACTACTAAATTAAGTAGTAAATAAGTTACCTTAACTATAGCCTGCTTTTTTAGCTAATTAACCTTATAACTATAAAGCTTTTTATTTTTATTAATAGCTTATTTATAAATAACTATAATTTTATTTTATAACTTAGCTTTATTATTATACTTACTAATAAAAGTAATATTATATAACCTATTACTAATAATAAGAAATTAATACTTACTAGTAATATTATTTACTTTAGCTTAATAAAGTATAAAAAAGTTATATATAGTATACTAGCCTCTAAGGTCTATAGTATAGTTACTAGTACTAATATTATCTATATAATTAGCACTATACTTATAATAATTACTAACTACCTTTAGCTACTATAAATCCTAATAATCCTCTATACTAACTTATACTTCCTTTATAAGTGCCTTATAAAGCTTAGCACTACTAAGGAGAAGTAACTTATAATTAACATTATAACGCTTTACTAGTTATATAAGTAACATAAGATCTATAAGATCTTATAGATATAAGGGGAAAATAACCTAGTAAATAGATTTATAAAGTTATTACTAAATAAAGCGCTAAAGTAGTTAATTAATAATAGTTAATTAGAGATATAAATAAATAGATAGGTTTTATATATATAATAGGTTATATAGTTAGAAAGTTATAAATACTTTTACCTTTTTGTTTTTATTATATTTTTAGGCCTTTTATAGATAAGTAGAAAATAGGGGTAATTTATAGCACTTTAGAAGGTTACTAGTGTTATAATATTAACTATTACCTAGATAATTAGCGTTACGGGTTAACGCCGATCTATTGGAGAAACTACGGCTGATTAACTGTGGATCCACCAGGGATCCACGGGGTTATTACCTAGCGATTTCGCTGCGTAATACCCACAATAGTTTCTCCTCTTTACGCATAATTCAGAACCACTAGTTACCCTAATTATTCGTCAATTGCCTATTAATACGTACGGTTAACTGTATCACCACCCTGGTGATAACCAACACCCTCGTCTCCAATTCACTGACTGAATAATTTCAGGTATTCGTTCTGGGGTATTATACCTTCTTCCAGCCGGCCGGCCTTGACGTATCTAAATCGTTTGATCTTGGTGTAGGCGTTACCGCCTGCGGTGTACTAAGCAACATAACCACTTGGTTCGTCGTCGAGTCGTACGCTCGTCGCAAGATCTTTATCTCGGGCATGGCTTGCTTAACCGGGTTACTGATCATGATTGGCATCATGGTTGTCGTTCCAAGCGATGGCGCAAAGTGGGTCAAGGCATCGGCCATATTCATCTACGCCTTGGTTTACTTCCTGACTATTGGGGCCACGGCATTTGCTATCTTGGGCGAGACATCCTCCATGGCCCTGCGGGCAAATACTATCGCTATTACAACTGCAACTCAGGCCGTCTGCGGCCTGGCAATGAACCTCGCTATCCCATATATGGTCAACCCAGACCAGGGCAATCTGAAGGGAAAGGTTGAGTTCATCTTCGGTGGCCTTGCGCTTATTGCAACTATAGGCAGCTTTTTCTATGTTCCCGAGATTAAGAGAAGGACTTTTGATGAGATTAATCAACTCTTCGAGGCTAAAATACCCCCAAGGAAAATGGGGAGCATCAAGGAGGGATCACCAGACCTTACGAGATAACGGAGGACTCGCTCTCCGTTACAGTTGGGCCGGGCGGCGCTGTTTGGTCTATGTTTGGGTCATTAGCAGGACCTGGATGCTGCGCGATACACTCCTCCAGGCAAGCCGGGATCAGATGCCACCCATAACCAGATGATCGGAATCAAACCTCGGCAACATTTCGTTGGTGGCAGTGCAAATGCGCTCGTGGTTCTTGAAAGAGCTGGGCATCGACGTCCTAATGCTGAAGGTGCTGGATAAATGAATAATGATGTACTACTATAGGAGTCTAAATGAGTGACTAAAAGCAAAACTAAAGTTTAAACGACTGAATTCGTACAAAATCCTGGTCTAACAAGAAAAGTGAGTGTCCTTAGGTTAAATACCTGCGTTCCAGTCCAGCTTTGACAAAAAGCAAAGCTTCTCTGGGAGGTGCGTGGTGGCTTTTCAATAAAGCCAATCACCACTTGCCCCAGAGATCTTGGGCCTTGTATTCGAAGGTGGTAAATGCCCCTTTGGCGACATCAATGTTGAAGAGGCACTCCGGAAGCCGACCGCCATTCGGGCTGAGATCCTTGACTTTGATGGCACGTTCGCTGCCACCCTGCGCCAGCTTGCAGGAAATAGCATTGTCGTAGATTGGAGGAAGGTCCATCTCATATTTCATCATCTGTTCCACAATGTTGCCGGGCAGATGCTCAACCTGAATCTTTTTCTTGTTGCTGAAGAGATCGCCGAGGGGCGCCGACGTCCACTTGAGAAGCCCCCAGCAGTCATTGACGCCACCCTTCCAAATGCGAGAGCCCCCAGCCTTTGTGCAGTCTCCCTGGCTCTTGACACCCGTTTCGATGAAAAGCTTCCACCCGTGGGAGCCAAGGACTGACATACCAATGGCCTGCCGCTAGATTATGGTTAGCAGTGAAGTGAAGAAGGAAAGTGGCAGACCGCAGACGTATAACTACATACCAGATGTTTCTTCGACGTGTTGACAGTTGCACTGGTGTACTTGTCGACGTCTTCGATCAGGAACCTGCCACCCCCAAAGAACTGAGCCACTGGCGTAGTCCACTGGTAAGAATTCTGAACGTTGGGAAGCTTGTTCTGGTCGCCGGTGCCAAACAGGTTGCGAGCCAGGTCCTCGAGCGCAGTCCGGGCCTGTTTGAAGTACGTCTCTAGGTAGGCGTTGGCCGACGGTTTCGGATCAGCCGGTGCATCCAATGCCGCCAGGCCAAAGATGCCGGCAACGGACGTGAGGGCACCGCCGACCAGGGGCCCAGGGCCTGGCAGCACACTCGCAGCCCCGGCCCCGATGTTCAAGACAGCGGCCACCTTGGCATAGACATCGGTGAGGTCCTTGACGCTGCCGCTAAAGTCGCTAATAACACCGTCCAAGCCGAAGGCTAACTCAATACCTTTGGCTTTGAAGCTCCTCGTGCAGCTTGTTGATGACCTTATGTGCGCCAGTCACGGCCTTGAAAATCCAGTACTCGTCAGCGTTGTCCGCTATGTCTCGAAACTCATGGCAGTCGGCTGGCGGACCGCATTTCCCGGGAACACTGGTGCAGTCCCAGGCATCGGATTGGGTCTTTTTCCACACAAACTTGTCGAGGTTCTGGACCCAGTTGCTGTAGTCTCGCTTGACATAGAGGTCGAGCGTCAGGCCTACGCCAGTCTTCCACCAGACATCATCCTGGCTTTCTGCGCTGAGGTCGTGGTTGCAAAGCTGCTCGACCTTGTCGGCGACGCGGCCTTGGCGGGCAAGAAGGGTGGGATGGGCGAAATCGGCTTGATTGAAAGGGGCACTGAGTACCGAGGGCACCGTTGCAACAACGAGGAACAGCGATGCTACAACGCCACGCCCAAAAGAAACCATGTTTGCAGATGAGAAATAAAGTAAAATGAAAGGGGGGGGGTTCAAATGACCGTTTTGTACGTGTCTTGGAAATGATTTGCTTTACAGTGAGATGACAAAAAATGAGATAAAGGAAAAGGAAAAAAGTAAAGGAAAGGAAAAGCAGGGTGATGACGATGAGGGTGAGAGTGGTGATTCAAAAGCAAGTCAGGAATATTAGGGGCTCGTCAGAGCAGACTATGATATACTATTCTCTTCACTGCGTTTACTAGTCAGTTTACAAGAAGCCCCATTTCCGCCACGGTCACAAGAACCACAAGTCTCCGAATAAGGCTTGGATCTGTCATCGCATTTCTCACTTCGCTCGTTTGATGTCTTGGCCTCTCAGAAATAGACATAAAACCTGGGTGCCGGATCTGCGCTAGTGGTGACTTATTGTATTTAGGAAGCATAGCAATGATCCTAGGATTCTTAACCCTTGTCAATTCGGTCAGATAAGAATTAGTAAGATTGATTCCAGAGTTGCGAGAAATCAATTCTCCTGAAACTTGAAAAGCACCTTCATTTGGTTCTTGGCTTACGTTTCAAGAAAACGTCCGCAAGGTCCAAAGCAGGGCAAGATGTGTCATGGCTTTAAGAGAATCAAATTTATCTAACATTATAAAGAAAATATTCTACAAGCCGTTATCAGTTGTTCATCTATACCCGAAGCAATTTTATCACGCAGGATCAGGCGGAGTACTCATAGGTACTTGATCCGTCGTCAGCGGCTTAAATCTTGGCGCTTGGCCCCAGGCTGGGGATGCAAGATGTACCTCTTTTTGACAGCTTACATGTAATATAAGCACGGCGCAGCTCCAACCTGACTGCTTCTGATATCTGTTATATGCAGGACCTTCTCGTACAAAAGCGCAAAGTCTTAGAGGTTGGTAGGGGGATTCTAATTCCTTGAACGATATAATTGTTCTTCTCGGCTTCGAGACGGAACCTGTAGGCGACCCTATTGGCGAGATATATCGTTAAATCGGATGTTGTCATCTCATTCTCCCGAGCCGCCGTAACAGCAAAGCTGAAAAGGGGCTGGTGCCACATGACACCCCATTTCGCCTGTGGCAACGGTGCATACAGTCTAAGTGCTACCAGGAAAGTCGTCCCCTAGCTGATAGGAAATGGTAGCTTTACAGGCAGGCAACTAAGACAGAGTGAGTAAGGGGGAAGTAGACTCAGATGATTTATACCGTTTAATATTTTCTAGCACAGCTCTTGAAGTTAGTGTTCAGGATTTCGGATCCCTCCTACCTCACCCCGAACAATATCTATCATCTGTGGAAGTCCACGACCTCACTCTGTACACTCACCAGTCTGTTGCCGCGTGCCTACTGAGCTCTCTCCCCTACGCCGACCATCTTGTGTACTTGGACAAGCTACCTTACCTGAGGCTGCGCCACCTCAACCACTACAGCCTCAATTCTCCACAGCAGCCAGCCTTGCCTTTCGAGGCGCGCAATCCATGTCACCGCCAACATCAGAAACCCACCCGGGCTGCTCAACAGTACCACCGACGAAACCTATTGAACAAGCCGACATATCAGCTCAGAAGGCCACAAACATGTTGGCTCACCTTCTTCGAGAGGGTTTTTCCATGCAGGAGACTGGCGCAATGGTGGGTTCCCCAGTTCAACAATCCAAAAAGGGAACGATTTCCAAATGCGGCAACGGCTGCTTAACAAGCCCACAAATCTGGAAGAAGGAAAACAAGAAACCGTCGTGGGAGGCCGCTTTCAAAACAAGAGACGGCGGGGAGATGGCGATTACGCTGGATTGCGAGGGAGAGATGGCGAAGGCGCAGCCGATACTAGACTGTCGGAATATGGATAATCACGTGACTGCTGGCTGGATATATGTATCCAGCCGGCCAGCAAACAGATGTATCTGAACTTTTCTCTTCTTCACTAATCAATTAAATAAGCACTGTTTTCACCTACGTCGTGAATATATTGCCATGGATCGATTTATCCCTGGGAGACCAACATAGACCTCTCCGGTGCGTCTGAGCCCTTCGGATTTCTCGTCGAGAAGAACGCTCGAGGTAGCATGAAAAATGTCGTGTTTTACTCGGGAGGATGGGAGGCGAACGGAGGTGGTATGCTTCGGTACGATTGGGTGAATGAGCACAAGTCTTGGGCTGCCTGTCGAGTCATCGACGACCAAGGTGACGTTCCAGACGGCGTCTGAACCCGAGCGCTGTTCGACCAAGGAGACCGGGTGATGCATTGCCATGACCATCAATGGATGAGATACAAGACGGTCTCTAACGTTCAGGGCCGGCGAAACGGGTAGAGATACAGTCTGTTTGCACAGCCAAGATGAAAGATGCTGAACCAGGCCTTGCGCATAGCATGCGCCTCATGCAAGTTCAAATAGTCCAGGCTGTAAGTCCTAGTATTAACAAGGAAAGAAATACAGGTTAAGTAGCATCGTATTAGATTACTATAGAAGCTATTAGTGTTTTTGTTACATATTTAATTTAGTGGTAGAAAAGTTTAAAAACTAAAGGATAATATAAAAACATATAACACTAGGTATTTGCTGGTTGTTACTGACATAACGACTAATCTAGCTATCACTGGCTCATCTATAGGAGAGCGGACGGGATCCCGAGCTCTCTAGTGGGTGTGGTCGTATGTATTATGTTGCAAAAACAACGCTGTTAATTACAAGCAGCAATTAACGCCTAATATGTCCTGTGATACACCCCCTCAGATTCGTACTATTCCTAGGGCAGATCTGTAACTCTTATCAATATTAGACCTTTTAATTAGGTACATCTTGCCAAAGTCTAGGTAGTTCAGTCTAACCCATGACGCGGAAAACGCAAAGAGGAGGTGTCAGTGGGAATCAAACCCACAAGGTCTATGACGCTCAGACGCTAAACTCTGGGGCTGGTGCCATTCTAGCACACCAGAGCGAACTGGGCTCATAACTGTCGCAAAAACAACGCCGTTAATTACAAGCAGCAATTAACGCCCAATATGTCCTGTGACATATTAATATGTGAGACATTGGTTAACTATGAAGCCATCAAGAAGAGTATACAGCCTGCTCAGGTGGGCCGCGCATGGATTGTCATGGAGCGCCTGACTTGGGTTGATTGTAGCGATCCCTCTGGTCTTGTGGAGAGACCGTCTTTGATCCCTGATTCTGCCAAATCAGCGAGAACAGACAAGACACAGCGCATAGCCACGCTCAGGCTGTAGCTATGGAGGGGCACATTAGATCCCAGGTGGATAATAATCCTTCTTGTCTCCATCTACTACGCGAGCCGTACCCGCTGGGATTATCTATTCTGTTATCTCTACTTGCCTTGTCGTTAGAATCGTTGTCATTCCTGCTCTTGTCACGTGGTGGATATCATTACTCGGTCCCAGTCGCGAAAGGCTTTTGATGGAGAACCGAGGTTACTGATCAGTATGTTGTTGGCGCTGGTGTTCTGTTTGGCGGCGTCTACCTAGCTTTTCAAGGAAGTCGTGGAGTCGTATGGTCATCAGCGTATCGTCATGTAACTCTCGAGGATAGTTAGGTTTTTAGAGATGAAGGCGGGGCCTCGTTTTTACCAGGATGGTGACTTCGCTGGTCTTTGCTTTGGTGCAACAATCGGGTTTACCTCCATCATAAGCATCATCATCATCACGTCTTTTTGTCCAACTTCTTCTCACAAAGTCCCCACCTTACTTTAATAACCAATGCCACCACCTCCGGGGCTGCAACAAAGCTGCTCAAAGCACGCGCAGGAAACCCTCTAGCCTACCTACAAGAAAAGTCTGCTATCCGCCAAGAATTGTTTTCTACCATCTATAATGAGAGAATAATAAAGCCTATTTTATAGGATAGATACGTCTATAAGTTATCAACACAATATAAGCCCGCCTACTGGCTAGAGGGGCGGCTCATCAACAAGATCAAGACCAAGGAGACCAGTCTCGTAGACGAACAACAGCAAGCAACCGATGCAAGACGGAACCATTAGCGAGGGGCAGCAGCAGCAGCAGGGGGTGGTGTCGACGGATTCGACCCAGTGTTCAGACGCAGATGCAGTAGGAACTCAAATGTGGTGGCATTGGTATCGTTCGGTGCATCGCCCGGCTCGAGATAACGAGAGGTGGGAGAAGATGATGGGAACAACGGCCACCCAGAAGTACGTTGGTTTGGGATTGTTCGTGAATACAGGAATCATGGGTTTCGGCAACGCAAAGTCACTATTAAACAGTTGTTGGTTATCGGTTATCATCAAAAAATTCAAAAAGGTGATTGATGGCGATATGTAATGGTGACTTACATTTACTGAATCTTGAGTCTGGAGTTCTGGGTTGCTTGCTTTGTTTGGCTTGCTTCCATCATGGATCGAACGCCGGAAAGAAAGTATGACAAAATCAGGAGAGGCGGATGCTTTAGACAGAGATGGAGACGGATGGATCCCTTATTCTTGGAACACGAGTTCTTGAGGGGCTTTTCCCTGCCTCTCTCTGCCTTGATCCTCGGGTCGTTATGGTTCCAGGGAGGGACAAGCAAGCGCAAGCAATTCAAAAATATGAATAAACGGGTTTGCGTCTTGTCTTTTGTTGTCGCGTAGCCTCTCATGATGTGACTCATTGCTCCGCTCGGGTAGTCATGCGTGCAGTGTCTGTTCTTCAATATGTTTAATGTTTTCTTTCAAAAACCTGCTGCATTGTGCATGATTGCGGAGTCTGCTGATGTGCTAAGTTTTGCCCTCAGCGGGCCGCGCTTCTGGACCCTACCCCCTTCCCTTCCCTGCCGTGTCATATCGTACCCATCCAACGGAACAGCTATGTTCAATAACAAGGATCAATTGGCGTGTATCTTTGCGTGTTGCGATTGGTTTACTGACTGTTTATCTTGATACATTTACAGTGCTTATTTCTTTTACTTTACAGATCCAGCTATCTCGTCTAAAAGTCATCTTTTGCACCCGGAGGAGGTGGGCATCTTGCCCCCGTCGGCAAGAGATTGATGCCATCACCGCCGCCCCCCACACCGACTCCCGTGAAGGGCAACCAGCACGTCCCGACACCGTCCCCGCAAGGGCTATCGGCAGTGGCGCAGCAGTAACCATAGGCGTCGACGTTGAAGTTGTAGCAAGGGAGGGGGGTTTGCGCCGGTGGCGGCGGCGTCATGGTGGAAACGACTACGGGTACGGTGGCTGAGGGAGGCTGGGGGGGCGGGGACGCGGTCGGAAGCGCAGTCGACGTTGAGTTGATGACGCACTGTCCCGCCCGAGCCCGGAGCTTGGCGGAGCCGGAGATACCGGAGTTACACGTGAAGACGTCAACGCCGTTCCAAGCGACCGGGGTGTCGCCTCCGCCGAAGCGGTTGTACGACAGCTCCCGGACGAGCTGCTTGACGTTGGCGGCGACCTGACCGGGGACCTGGAGCCGCGCGCGGTACTGGGCCGAGCTGAGCCACACGGCAATCATGCCGCTGACCAACGGAGCCGACATTGATGTGCCCGTCTTTTCGACATCCGCGTTTCCAAGGTTGCTTGCGCACACGGTGGTGCCGACAGCCGAGGTGTCGAGCTCCCGAGGCACACCTTGGGAGTAGTCCTCGCGCTTACCTTCGGCAGTGACAGCACCGACGGCGATCATGTTTAATTGCCGGCCGAGGAAAGCCGGAAAGGCGGTGACGAATTCACTACCGCCGGGCTCATCTCTACTGTTGCCAGACGCCGCGACCACCACGACGTCCTCATCGATGAGGAGTTGGATAGTGCTGTTGTAGCCGGCGATCGCCTGCGGCAGTATGAAACCGGGATTCTTGCCCTGGTTATTGGTGCTCGGCACGAGCAGTTGGCTCCCGAGCGACATGTTGACGACTGCTTTTCCTTGCAGCTTGTTCTTTATGACGTCCTGATATACCAGAAGCAAACCGAAGAGGATATTGTCTAGCGTGAACCGGGCGCCAAGCTTGACAATAACAATGTCGGCTGCCTTAGCAACGCCAAAAAGGGGCCCATTTACGAGCGATTGGACGCAGGAGCCATGACCGTTCTTGTCGTCCTCGGCCGTGTCTTCGCTGGCAAACAACCATCGTTTGTTTCCCTCTGCTTTTGCAAAGTCATCATGGGCCGGGTTGGCACCCGTGTCCAACACATAGACCGTCACCCCTTTGCCGGCCTCTTGCTGGTATGCGTATCCCGGGACATTGCTGGGCGTGAAACCTTGGACGTTGACCGGTAGGGGCAAGGATAGGTCACCCAGGGCATCCTGGCTGGGGGTCTGGATGACAAAGCCGTCGAAAGTGTCGAGCGTGATTTGTTCTGATTGATCTGGTGCGGCTGTACTTGGTTCGTCGAAACCCGAATCCACGTCCAGATCGATCGAAAGCACCTGTTTGTACAATTCACGTCAGTAGGGTATACGCCAGATGTGTATGTAAAGATCATCAAGCACGTACCCGTGGATCCTTACGGATGATGGCAGCATTGTCCTCGGTCGTGAGAAGAACATAGATTCCGAGATCCTCAGGGGAGTCAAATTCTTTAGATAGGTCTTTCATTGTGCCGGGCTGGGCAAAAGGGGCGAGAAACGTCTCAAAGTCAGCCTTCTGCGTTGGGTCCTCGGCGACGGCGAGCATTATGGTTACGACGTAGTTTTGCGCGACTTGGGTTTGGCTAGGCTGCGCCGACGACGACGAGCTAGTCGTGGATGAAACCTTGAACGTGGTCGACGAGCTGGTCACAGACGAGGTCGTGGTAGTGGCTTGTTCACTCTCTGTAAGGCTGAGGGAGATTGAGGTAAGAGTTTGTATCTCGGGCTCGTCATCACTGTTGTTGCTGCCGCCGCTGTCGTTGTCCGGCTGCAGCCTGAGGACCTGCCCGGCTGCCACGGCGATGGGGGCGCTGGATCCGAAAGCGACAAAGCCGCCGCCAGCGCCGCCGACGACAACTACGGCGCCCACTGCTGCCCCAACCGCAATGGCGATCGTTTTCCCATCGGAGACGGACGTGGTGAGGGCAGGCGGCGGCGCGAGACTGGTGGTGAGGCTCCGACTCGGAGGCGGAGTGATGGGCGCTTGAGAAGATGGACCTGGCGAGATGGTGCTCGAGGCTGACCCTGGAATTGTTGACCTCGATAGAGTTGATTCTGGTTGCCGAGAAGCTGATTCTGAAACTGTCGAACTCGATAGAGTTGATTCTGGTTGCCGAGAAGCTGATTGTGAAACTGTCGAATTCGATAGAGTTGATTCTGGTTGCCGAGAAGCTGATTCTGAAACTCTCGAACTCGATAGAGTTGATTCTGGTTGCCGAGAAGCTGATTCTGAAACTGTCGAATTCGATCGAGTTGATTCTGGTTGCCGAGAAGCTGATTCTGAAACTGTCGAACTCAATAGAGTTGATTCTGGTTGCCTAGAAGCTGGTTTTGAGCCTGTTATGAGAGGTATTGACCGAGTGGTCCGGTTGTTGGGGATGTGTGTAGCCGATGCATGAGAGAGAGTGTCCGAAAGAAGTAATGATGAACTCGGAGGCGGCTTCTCCTGAGCAAGGACGAGGCTAAGTGATAGCCAGTAAATGAGTGTGGTTTCTAGGCGCATGTCGTCGACTGGCGAGAGCTATGCTAAGTGAATGGGTAAAGACTGGAAGGGTTGGAAAGAAAAGAAGGAATGAATGAGAACGCAGAAGAACAAGGAGTTGGGGGTAGCATGGCGTATTAGTATATAAGAGTTACACAGCATTATAAATGATCAGCAGTAATGCTAAAGTTTTGTTGTATCAATTAGAGACGTATAGATAAGCATGTTATTGAGTGAATATTTTATCCCAGTTACTTACTTGTCTCCTTGAGCAATATTACCTGAAACCCGAGAAAAAGCTAGGCCACTTTCAATACATCTAAATCTAAAGCGTTATACCTAAATAGTTAAGTAGGGCATAATGTGTCTTTGGTCGTACCTGAACCGCTATCCAGTTTCCAGTATCTGTATAGTATATCCGTACACTATTGCTGCTACTGGCAAGCTGGCAACAGGGGCTGAAACATATGGTTAACAGGGGTCTGAGAATACCTGAAGTAACCTAGTGCAACAAATACAGGACCCTGGTGGGGCTCCAGCGGTTAGCGGCACTGCGACCGTGGCCTCTACTGTGTACAGGTCCGAGAAAGGATGAAGGTTCAGAACTCTATTAGATTGACTATGTCGGATTTGCAAAAGAAGTACATCGTACCTGCATGGAGTAGAGCCCCTGCTACCTTTAGGGTTAGATTGGCAACTTAGATAGCAACTATTAGACAGTGGCCAACTTGTACAATCATGTGCCCAAGATTAGTGAGAAATGCTTTGGTGCTGGTGTTCGAGGCTATCTTAGGACTCTGCTTTATTACCTAAGTCGGGTTTATCCTATATAGAACCTGTTCGTTTGCCTCGTGCCTAGCTCAGATAAACAATCAGATAAGCTGATAATGCCCTAGAGATTATACTGTGATCGTGGGTGTTTCCCGGGACAGCACCATATTCCGCACCCGAACCGATCCGCCGCGAGTCTTGACACGCAAGCATCAGCCGACCCCACCACCCATTAACACCACTTCAGACTGATAAAATGTAACCATACTGTCGGGTTGATAAGTGAGGTGGGGGGGGGGGGGGGGGAGTGGGGGCAATTTATTAGCGGGTTCTGATCACTCCTCATGATCACCCTACGCGGATCAGAGGAGTGATCAGATGATAGACCCCCCGCTTTTCACTTACGGCGTAGAATGACAGTGTGAATGGGAGCTGATTGAAAAGGACCAAAACAAAAGGTCGATTTTGCTGGGTGCTAATGATGATGCAGAAGGGAAAACACCCCCCTCAGTGCTGACTATCAGGTCCTGATGTTATGACCTATTAGTACGTACCCGTACCTTCCAGGCGTAGGCATTGCTCGGCGTGACTTTCTGCCAATACAGGGTTATCCTCGACGGGTGCCTAAGCATGCAAATCACCAACCTGTGTGCAACAAACTGGAGTGCCAGCTGACCTAGGGCGCAAAGAGTATGACGGGGTCGCCGACGCGCGCACGCATGGGCAATAATGTTGGAGCACGTAATTAGCAGCGATAACCTTGCATTTGTTGATTGCTCTGTTGTGTGTAACTATCTCTATGGCACGCTGCCATCGCCGATTGTGTTGAAGCGCGTAATTAGTAGCGATAACCTTGCGTTTTTTGATTGCTCTGTTGTAGGTATGTAGTTATATCTATGTTACGCAGCCATCGCCGATCGGCCCTTTTCAAGGGGTAAATGTAAATGCACAGATCAATATTTTCCCTTGCTTTAGGTGGAGAAATCCATCCGAGAAATGACTGGTGCATTTGCGGCCAATTGCCCCACCTTGCGCCCAGGCGCACGCGGATGTTTCGCCCACTTTAACTGTCAAATGTGGCGGAAATACGGATACACGTGGATTGACCAGCGAATGCACGGTTGTGTCAAAGTGGGCGAAATGGCCGCGGGCGCCCGAGCGCACGGTGGGGCAATTAGCTGTAAATTGTCAAAGTGGACGAAATGGTCGCACGTGCCCGGATCAAGGTGGGGCGATTGGCCGCAAATACACCAGTCATTTCTCAAATGGATTTCTCCACCTAAAGCAAGGGAAAATAATGATCTGTGCATTTACCCCCTAAGACCTCTTTAGTAATAGCTTTATAATAGAGATAGTAAGATATATATAAGAAAGTAATTAGGTAATATAAGGTTATTACTACTAATTATATACTTTAATAGTTAATAGTCTAATTTATAAGTTACTAATTAATATTATTTAAAGTATTATATAGTATATATATAATTTATCTCTTATTATATATTATAACTAATAGATTAATAACTTAAAACGCTAAACTTAATAGTCTAGCTAATTAGTACTTATAGCTTATAAAGCTTAAGTAAAAAAGCTAAAGTATTTAAGTTATAAAAAGTAATTAACTTATTAGTAAATAATAACTAATATACTTATATAGTAAGTTATAAATTATAGTTAGTTATAAAAATCTACTGCTTTTCTATCTCTTTAACCTTTATACCTACTTTTCTTTATATATAAACATAAACTCTTTTTCTAAAGAAAGCTAAATTATCTTTACTTTTTAAGCTATCTAAAAAGACCTAAAAATACTTATATAGAAAGCAGTTTATACCTTTAAGGTTCTTAAATTAGTATTCTATAACTAATATACTAGATATATTATATAAGCTAAGATATATTTAACATTAAAGAAGATAGTAAAAGTATAAGAAAAGGTAATTCTTAAAAAGATTATTATAAAGGGCTAGCACTACCTTCTAATAGGTATATAGTAACTTAATATAATTAATCTAAGCTAAGGAGAGAAAAGGTTATTCTATAGTATACCTTTATACGTATAGCATTTAGTAGGTACACTAAGTAAGCGCAGACTAGTTATAGGTATATACGTTATAGTAAGTAAAGCCCTACTATATATACTATAGCTTTAGCCTATAATATATACCTCTCCCTTACCTTTATTACTAGTAAGAAAACCTTAGCTAGGCCTTACCCTAGTAGGTATATAACCTATAAACCTATCCTATTATAGGTTAACTATACGTCTTACCTATTTTATTACTTTTTCTTTTTTTTCTTTTTTTAAAGTAGGCCTTTTAATAATATTATAAGTATTTTATTTTATTTCTTTATAGTTTTATATTATTATATTACTTTACTAGTATATCTTTTTTTTTACTAAAGTTAATTATAGTAAGATACCTATAAGTACCTCTTACTTCTTATTATAGGTGTATATATATATAATTTACTATAAATTTAATACTAACTTATTACTTATAGGTTCCCTTTATTTCTAGTTAGTTAGTCTCCCTAGAGGGTAATAAGCTTAAGCCTATAACGCCTAAGACTTCTAGCCTACTACTATTATACTAGTTAGTTTATAGTTATATACCTTTATAGCGTAAGTTATTACTAACTTATTATAGTTAGCTATCCCCTTATTACTATCCCTCTTACTAATTAAGAGGGTACGCCTTATGGAAGACGTCCTCTAGGTTCCTTCTTACTAGTCTTATACTAACTACCTAGCTAAGGACCTTATAGTACACTACTATACTAAAAACAGATATAGCTTTAGTATATACTATACTACTTACTTTTTAAGTAACTAAGCTTACTTAGATAGTATATATTATTTTTATATATATTTAGGTTATATTACTATTATCAACTTATTATAGATCTTTATATTTTTTATAAGTCTTTATAAGGCTATAGTTATTACTACTACTACTATTATTAATAGTCTTATAAGTAACTTTGTTTTTTAGGACACTTATACTACTACTACTAAGGCTTAGTAGGTCTTAGTACACTTTATATTAAATAGTAGGGATTATAATAGTTACTTAATTAATTCTGTTATGTGTTCTATATCTATTATAAATTACTATAGAAACAGGGAAAAACCCCTATTTCTTAGTTAGGAAATCCCTAGCTAATCCTAGCGATATTATTAGTAAAGTTACTATTAGAAGTAGGGCTAATTTACTGCTTATTCCCTAATAATTTGCTATAAGGTAACTATATATTTACTAGCTAATGTATATATAATTCTACTATATTTAACACACCCCCTTAGCGCTAGTAGTATAATTAATTACTATAGAGCCTACACTAAATATTATCTATATATAGCCTATTTATTTATTAATTATTTTTTAATATTCTATATATTTTTTTTTATTTAGTAGTAAAGCTTTACTTTATAATTAGCTAATTCTTACTATTAATTTACTTTAAGGCGTATATATTAGTTACTTATATTTAATTAAGCTATAAATATAGTAGATTATAGTACACTAAGTGCCTTTATTAATCTATTAGCTATTAATTTAGTAGACTTCTTATATTTAATAGTAATTTAATTTACTACTACTTCTTAATATAGCTAGTAGTTATAAATATTTATATACTATAACCTTATTTATAATTAAATAAGCTTCTTAGTAATAAGGCTAATAGTTTAGGTATTATTATAGCTAATATAAATAGTTAGTAGCTATTTAGTAGCTATCTACTTATTAAGTAATAATTTAGTTCCTAGTTATATTAATAGTTAAATACCTAGTGTAGTAATTAATTTACTAGTAAAAAGCGCCTTTTTTATAGTAGATAATAAGGCTAGTAATTTAGCCTTAGTAGTTAATATTATTACTATATCTTATTTATTAGCTTACTAAGAGATAAGCCCTCTAAATAGCTTTAGTATATATACTTATAAGCTATAATAGTCTAGTAAGTTATTAGTAAATAAGGCGTCTAAAGTAACCTCTAACGTATTATTTTTACTTCTTAGTGTTACTTTATATTTAAGGTAAAGGTGCTATATTTAATAGAGATA